AACTCTGGTATTGTCCCTTAGGCTGTTCCTTTTTTTTAATCAAAGTTTCTCACTGGCCTGGAATTAGTCAAGTATGCTTGTCTAGGTGACTATATTGCCCTGGCAATTTGCCTGACTTTAGCTCCCAGTGCTGTGCTTTAAATTACCAGTCATTATCTCTATTTTAAAATATATTTATGAGATCCACCTAGGTCCTGATGCTTGTAAAGCAAGCACTTTAGCAAATTAATTAATTTTCTAGTCCTATTTATAAATTACTTTTAATATCTTGATTTTATGATTGATGGATTATGTAATTCAATTTGTGGCTTCTTGTTGATCTTAATATTTTTCTAAAAGCAATATAACAAAGCAATGCACTCACTTTGTAATACATCTGTAGGGTAGGCTTCAGCCAACAACATGACTCATACCTAGAATCACCTGCAAAGAGAGAAAACTAAGAGAGCAGACTTATCTCCAGCCATGTGTGTGAAGCTTTTCCTTAACATCTGATTGGATAAAACTATAGCAAGCATATTCATATTAAAACATATTATTTTTCTCTTAAAAATTTAAAATATTGAGGAAAAGAGAGCAAGAGCATTCCATAGTTGGTGGTCTCCTGGTCTGCACCCTATTTTTCATTACAAATTAGTCATAATTTTATGAATTGGACTGATAGTTATAAATATTTCCAATTTTATGTTATTGCCACGAGTATAATGATACAGGAGATGGTACAGTGAAAAAATATAACTTCGGAATTCAAAACTCAGAAAAGTTAAAAAAGTCATTAACTTTACATTGAAAAGAAATATGAACCATACCTTTTTTGGCAAGTAAAGATACATAGACAAAATGGATTACTGCATGATTCACTACACTATATCACACTACAACTTCCATTACAAGAATTTCACCTTTCCTCTTCCTTTCTTTTTTTAACATTCTCAAATTTGATATATATATATATATAATTTTAAATTTAAATTAGAAACAAGGTTGCTTACTGTGTCAATTCCAGCTCCCTCTCCATTTCCCTCCGCTCCTCCCGTGCCCTACCACCAACCCCCCCAATATCCCCTCATTTCCCCAAGGAGGGTGAGGCCCTCCATGGGGGTGTCCATAGTCTGTAATTTCATCCAGGGCAGGGCCTAGACCCTCCCCCAAGAGGTCAGGGTGAGAGTGCATCTCTCATTGTTGGACGGGAGTCCAAAGTCCATTTGTATACCCGGAATAAATACTGATCTACTACCCAAGGCTCAATAGATTACTTAGGCCTCCTCACTGACGCTCCCATTCGGGGGATCTTGACCAGTCCCATGCTGGATTCCCAGGCATCAGTCTGGGATTCAAGAGCTACCTTGTCAGGTCAGCTGTTTCTGGAGGTTAAACCAGCCCAGTCTTAATCCCTTTGGTCATCGGGCCTCCCTCTCTGTCACTGGGTTTCTTGAGTTCAGCTCAGTGCTAAGCTATGGGAGTCTGCCTCTGCTTCCATCAACCACTGAAAGAAGAGTCTGTTTCCCAGACTCTCTGACCATGGGATTGTAGGCTGGCACTTCCCAGATATAGGTCTAGAATCCATATATGAGAGAGTACATGCCATGTTTCTATTTTTATAAGTGGGTTACCTCGCTAAGGATGGTTTCTTCTGGTGCCATCCATTTGCCTGCAAATCTCAGGATTCCATTGCTTTTTCTGATGAATAGTACTCCATTGTGCAAAGTCTATATATAGCTTTTATTATGTTTAGGTATGTTCCTGTTATCCCAGATCTCTCCAAGACCTTTATCATGAAGGGGTGTTGGATTTTGTCAAAGGCTTACTCAGCATCTAGTGAGATGATCATGTGACTTTTGTTTTTCAGCTTGTTTATATGGTGGATTGCATTGATGGATTTTTGTATGTTGAACCATCTCTGCATCCCTGGGATGAAACTCACTTGATTGTGGTGAATGATTGTTTCGATGTGTTCTTGGATCCAATTTGCCAGTATTTTATTGAGTATTTTCGCATCAATGTTCATGAGGGATATTGTTTGAAGTTCTCTTTCTTAGTTGTGTCTTTGTGTGGCTTGGGGATCAAGGTTATTGAAGCCTCATAGAAAGAGTTTGGCAAGGAACCTTCTGCTTCTATTGTGTGGAATAATTTGAGAAGAATTGGTATAAGCTGTTCTTTGAGTTTCTGGTAGAATTCTGCACTGACAACATCTGGACCTGGGCTTTTTTTGGTTGGGAGACTTTTGATGACTGCTTCTATTTCCATAGGGGTTATAGATCTATTTAAATTGCTTATCTGTTCTTGATTTAATTTTGGCAAGTGATAGCTATCCAGGAAGTCATCCATTTCCTTTAAATTTTCGAATTTTATGGAGTACAGGTTTTCAAAGTATGACCTGATGATTCTCTGAATTTCCTCAGAGTTCATTATTATGTCCTCCTTTTCATTTCTGATTTTGTTAATTTGCATGTCCACACTCTGCTGTTTGGTAAGTTTGGTCAAGGTTTGTCTATCTTGTTGATTTTCTCAAGGAACCAACTCTTCGTTGCCTTGGTTCTTTGTATTGTTTTCCTAGTTTCTACTTTATTGATTTCAGCCCTCAATTTGATTATTTCCTGGTGTCTACTCCTCCCGTGGGAGTTTGCTTCTTTGTGTTCTAGAGCTTTAAGCTGTTCTGTTATTTCTCTAATATAACTATTCTCCAGTTTCTTCATGCGGGCACTTAGTGCTGTGAACTTCCCCTGTAGCACTGCTTTCAAAGTGTCCCATAGGTTTGGGTATGTTGTGTCTTCATTTTCTTTGAATTCTAGGAAGTCTTTGACCCAGGAATGGTGAAGTTGTGCATTATTCAATTTCCATGAGTTTGTATGGTTTCTACAATTTGTGTTGCTCTTGAATTCTAATTTTAAAGCATGGCGGTCTGATAAGATGCATGGAGTTACTCCATTTTTTTTTGCTACTGAGGTTTGATATGTTGCCAAGTATGTGGTTGATTTTTGAGAAGGTTCCATGTGGTGGTGAGAAGAAGGTATATTCTTTTTTAGGTGGATGAAATGTTCAATAGATGTCTGTTAATCCCGGTTGGGTCATTACTTCTATTAGACCCTTTGCTTCTTTGTTGAGTTTCTGTCTGGTATTCCTGTCTTGTGGTGAGAATGGGGTGTTGAAATCTCCCACTATAAGTGTGTGGGGCTTTATATGTGATTTAAGTTTTAGTAATGTTTCTTTTATGAACGTGGATTCCTTTGTACTTGGGGCATAGATGTTCAGGATAGACACTTCATCTTGGTGGGTTTCACCTGTGATGAGTATGTAATGACCTCCTTCATCTCTTTTGATTGATTTTATTTTAAATTCTAAATTGTTAGATATTAGGATTGATACCCCTGCTTCTTTTTTGGGTCCGTTTGATTGGAAAATCTTTTACCAACCTTTAACTTTCAGGTAATGTCTGTCTTAGAGGGTGAGGTGTGTTTCTTGTATGCAGCAGAAGGATGGTTTGTATCTTCGAATCCATTCTGTTAGCCTGTATCTTTTTTATGGGTGAGTTAAGGCCATTAATATTGATGGATATTAATGACCATTGATTGCTCATTCTTCTTTGATTTGCAATGGTTGGTGGTGGTGGAATTATGTGTGGAATTCCACCCCTTTGTTCTTTTGGCTGTTGGTAGAGAGGGATTCTCTAATGCCTATATTTTTCTGGTTGTAGTTAACTTCCTTGGTGGAGTTTTCCTTCTAGAACTTTCTGTAGGGATGGGTTAGTGGATACATATTGCTCGAATCTAGTTTTGTCATGGAATATCTTGTTTTCTCCATCTATAGTGATTGAGAGCTTTGCTGGGTATAGTAACCTGGGCTGGCATCCATCGTCTCTTAGTGTTGGCAGAATATCTATCCAGGACCTTCTGGCTTTCAGAGTTTCCATGGAGAAGTCAGGTGTAATTTTGATAGGTTTGCCTTTATATGTTACTTGGCCTTTTTCCTTAGCTGCTCTTAATATTATTTCTTTATTCTGTGTATTTGGGGTCTTGGTTATTATGTGGAGAGGGGCCTTTTTTGTGGTTCACTCTGTTTGGTGTTCTGTAAGCTTCTTGTATCTACATTGGCATGTCTTTCTTTAGGTTGGGAAAGTTTTCTTCTTTTCTTTTCTTGTTTTCTCTTAAATTTTATCTTGAAGTAGAGCTGCAAAGGCAAAGTGAAGACACAAAGGGAAAGGAAATGCCTGGGATTAAGATTCATGATATGAAGGACACAAAGAATAAATTAAAAGAAGAAATATGAATATAGAACTTCAACGAATTGTGGACTCATAAAGCAGTATAAAGAATAATATACAATTAACCATTAAAATGCATAATTCCACTCTTCCTATTTACTATTGCCAACCTAGTTAAGACAGTGTAAATACCTTGTGGATGGGAGTATGATAGAACCTGCCCTCTGTCTACATGTACACTAATATAGTGATGTAATCTTTTCAATAATCAGTATTAAACAGTGTTTCTGTTGCATAACTTATTTTATTCCAATTGTTTAACTTATAGAGTAACAAAGGTATTTTTTGAATCATTTGCCAATTGATCAGGAAGGTCATCTACAAAACATTGAGACAACAAGGCATATTGAGGAAACTTATGTATTCCCAAATTAATATAGGTAATGTGAGGCTTCCCTAAACAGGGTAGGGTTCATATTTGCGAGTATAACCAAGCACAAAAAGGGCTTTAGAATTTCCAGCAGGTAATATGTGTTGCTATCTGTGAACAAAAGAAAGTAGTACTTCTCTATGTTTATCAAGGTGAGAATCTACCTTTGGGACTTTTCTTCCAAATAATCATGTTTTAACATTACCTCATACCTAGTGACTTTAATTCCAATTTGTAGACTATATTTTCCCACAAATTCCAGAAGTTATGCTGTATTACTAATGAAAACTATTCTTTGTTTAGTTGAAACTTGTCTTTTGCATTAACTTTTTTAGGGCTATTTTGACATCTTTTTTCATAGACTGTAGGTCAAGGGATTAACACAGGAAAAACAAAAGTATAAAACACAGACAAAAATTTACTTTGGCCCAGAGAGCTGGCTGATGATGGTTGAAGGTACATGAAAGCTGTAGAACCATAGAAGACAGCAACAGTCAAGATGTGGGAGCTGTAGGTGCTGAAGGCCTTGGACCTTCCCCCAGTGGATTGAATGTGGAGGATGCTGACAATGATGAAGATGTAAGAATTAAGATTGGTCACATCTGGTAGAACAATGTTAAAGGATAGCCACTGCTGATAGAGCAATGTTAAATGTATAGAAGAACAGTATTTCATTGATAAAAGTGCTAGAGCAAGAGAACTCCAGTAATGGGAAAAGATCACAGAAGTAATGGTTTATTATATTAGCATTACAGAAAAGCAATCTTACCAGGAAGACAGTGTAAACTGTGGCACTTAGTAAGCTCAAACAATATATCCCTACTACAGTCCAAAAACATACTTGACAAGACATGGTTACATTGTAAAGCAAAGGGTTAGAAATAGGCACATCAAGGTCATATGCCATTGCAGCCAACATGTGACATTCGACAACAACAAAGGCACAGAAGAAGTAGAGCTGAGTCACATAATCTGGGTAGGGGATGACATTCTTCTGTGTCACAAAGTTCACCAGTATTTTTGGAGTAATGACAGTGGACTGACAACCGTCAATAAAGGACATACTGTTGAGTAGATAATATATGGATGTGTGCAGCTGAAAACTAACCAGAATCAAAATGATCATGTCCAGGTTTCCCACAACAGCAACCAAATAGACTCCTAGGAAGATGAGAAATAGGTACAGTTGGAGCTGTGGATTCTCTGTTAACCCAACAAAGATGAACCCAGTCACCATGGTTTGATTTACTCCTTCCATTCTCTTCTGGAAATCCTACATAAGAAGAAATTTATATATAGAAGAAATTTTTACTGTTATGTGGACAGTGGACTTTTTTTGTATGTATTCTTCTGTCACTTGATGAAATTTGAAGCATAGAAGCAAAATTTAGATAAGCCCTGGTTTCCCGTCATTCTAATCATGTAGACTGCTAGCAAGATAACGATCAGGGGCAAAAGATGTATGGGGCTCCTTCTTTGTTCAGAGAATAGACAGTCCTGGAGAAGATGACTCAACAAAAAAATCACACGGCAGTTTACATAATTTTCACCTATGCTTTAATAGTGATTATTCATTCTAAGCAGTTCTTTACAACCTATTATTCAGTATTCCAAGACATCTCATGTCTTGATCATCATACTGCCTACATTAAAGCAAAAATGTTCTTTTCTGTTAAAATCTGAATAGTATTAACAAAGAAAAATTTTCTGTTTATCAGCAGGACAATTTTCGTCTTATCACATTAGTTCTATTATCCTAGAATTTCAAGTTGGGCAAACAGAAAGCTAAATGAAATTTAAAGGATTAGAGTAAAAAAACAAAAAGTAAAACTAGCTTTACTCATGAATAAAAGTAATAAATACAATTGAGTCTATAGAAAATCTGTATTATCTGCCAATAATATCTTTTAGAAGTTAATAATAAAAAGGAAATAATAGAATACAAGGTTTTCACAATAGTTTGATAGAAATATCACACAGTATACATAAACAATGAAAGCTTTCATTTTCTGGGATCTGTGGTATAACTTAAAACCAGGCATGCTATTAACCCTAGTATTATTCTTTTTTTTTTATTCAGGATTGCATTGGCTAACTTGGATCCTTTATTCTTCCTGGTGAATTCTAAAACTGGTTTTCTATTTCTGTGACAAATGTCATGGGGATTGGTGCTGCTTTGAATCTGTGAAAGGTTTTCAGTAGGATATGCTTCCTCCAAATGAACTTTAGCAGTTCATGACTATGGAGTGTCTTGCAACTTGTAATGCCTTCTTTGATTTATGTAATCATAGATTGAAATATTTTACTGCAGAAATCTTTCACTTTCAGTAGTGGGGATTGTTGTTTGATTTCTTTCTTTTCTTCCTTTTTTGAGGTTGTGATGAGTGGATTTCTTTACATAATTTCTTTTTCAATGTGTTTATTAGTTGTGTTTAGAAAGAGTTTGAAATTTGGTTACTTAATTTTGTATCCTGACACTTTGGTTAGACAGTTCATCAACTGTAGAATCTTTCTGGTGAAATTATTATGATTGTTTTATGTATAATATCTTACTGTCTAGAAAGAAAAGTAAATTTTAATGCTTTTGTATCCATTTTCTTCCGTTGGTTCTATAATTGTGCCGGTGAGGACCTGACAGAATAAATTGGAAAGACTGGAGACAATAAGTTGCCCCTATTTTCCTATTTTTTCTGTTTTTCATTTTGTATCTATTTTTATTTTTTTATTAAATTTATTTATTGAGAATTTCATACAAGAGCAATCTATTTGCATCATTTGTAGTCTTCTCTCTCCAAACACTAATTCTTCCTGTAGTTTCCCACTTTCTCTAAAATTCATGCCTCTTTTAAAAATTATTGTGGACACAGACACATACAAATAGAAATGCATATGTGTGTGCATGTGTATATATGTAAAATGCGAGATTCTGGATCAATTTACTATTGTATGTATACATATTTACAGTAAACTCCTTTTCAGTGAATAAACTATGAAGTGGCTCACCCTTTGACAATCCTAATTTTCCATGTTTCAATGCATCATTAATTATCTGTAGCTTTTCATCTAGGCATGAGGCCACATGACATCTTCCCCATCCATGTCAGCTTGTCAACTGAAATTGTCTGTGCAATTCCCATTTAGGTCACATAATGTTGAGATTTCAAAGGTACAGCTTCCCTGTCAAATATAGAAGGGATTGATTTTCTTACACCCAACATCCTTGTCCCCTGGCTATTACAATGTTTCATTTCCTCCTTCCTCAATGATCTTTGGGCCGTAAATGTTGTAGATGTATCAGGTAGGACTAGGAACCTTGTAGTAAAGAATTTTTATCAAAATGGTTTGACAGTTCTTTAAAATAAAAAAATAGATTTACCATATACCCAAATACCTTTTATGCAAGGTTCATTTGCTCAAGAATGAAAGACACGTAAAGGCACAAACACACACACACACACACACACACACACACACACACACACACACTCACAAAAGAAAACCTTATAAAGAATGATCAGAGCATATGAAACATACCCACTTTCCATGCAGTGGAAAATACAAAGCTCTACTTTACATATTGCTGTAATGGCTTATTATACTACAATGACACAAAGACATTCTGCAGTCTGAAAAAGCATGATACATGTCAAGGAAAACAAATGCACAGAAAATGACACACGTTGCAGGATCCATGATATGAAGCATATCCAACAGGCAAATCCATAGAAACAGAGCAAATACTGCCTTCAAGATGCTAAGTAAAAGTAAGTCTTAGTGTATCACTGGTAATGATGCCAAAGCTTTACATGAATTGGTGATGAAAATAATCAAAAATTAGAATACAGAGGTGGTTAACAAACATTGTAGGCACACTAAATATCAATCTATTCTAATATGAGAAAGGATAATATTTAATATATCAGCTTCAATTGTATAAATTTTGTGTTATACAATTAAAACTCCAATCTAGTAATTATGATGACCATGGAATTTTCCATTATCATCCATTATTTTGACAACCTCTACAAAATCTTTTCCATAAAATATTATATTTTCCACAAAAGTTTATATTTATATTTGTATTTATATCAAATATTAATATTCACTTACATATGTCATTTCTGTCACTACAAAACCAAACATCTGGATTGTTAACAGGTTCTAGCTATCATGAATAAAACTGCTTTGAACACAAGTCTCCTTATGGTATTGAGCATCCTTTTTGGCATAGCTGGGTCTTGAGGTAGAACAATTCCTATTTTCTGAGAAAGCTCCATATTTATTTACAAAGTAGCTGTAGAAGTTTGTACTCCCACCAGCAATAGAGAAGTGTTCTGTTTACTAATTTTCCTCTCCAGCATGGGTTGTCACTAGCGTTATTGATCTTAGTCATTCTGTAAATGTAAAGTGGAGTCTTGAAGTCATTTTGATTTGCATTTCCCCAATGGCTAAGATTGTTGAGCATTTCCTTAAATGTCTCTCAGATATTTGAGATTCCTCAGTTGATAATGCTCTGCATATAACTGTACCCCATTTTAAATGGATTATTTGATTTCTTTTAGTATTTTTTTATTTATTTAAATTAGAAACAAGCTTGATTCACACATCAGTCCCAGCTCCCTCTCCCTCCCCACCTACCCTGCCCCCAAAAGCCCCCCAAGCCCCACACAGTTCCCATTCCACTCCCCAGGGAGGGTGAGACCCTCCATGGATGATCTCCAGAGTCTTTCATTTCATCCAGGGCAGGGCATAGGCCCTCCCCATATTTCCAGTCTGGGACAGCATCCCTCAATGTGGGATGGGCTCCCAAAGTCCATTGGGAGTCAGGGATAAGTACTGATATATTACCAAAGGCCCCATAGGTGACTGAGGCATCCTCACTGACACCCAAATTTAGGGGGTTTGTATCAATCCATGCTGGCCTCCCAGTCATCAGTCTGGGGTTAAAGAAATTCCTTGTTCAGGTCAGCTGTTTCTATGGGTTTCAACAGCCCTTTGCTCATCAATCTTCCCTCTCAGCAAATAGGTACTAGGAGTTCTGTTCAGTGTTTAGCTGTGGGTGTCTGTCTCTGCTTCCATCAGCTAATGTATGATGGCTCTAGGATGGCATATAAGGGATTCATCAAACACATTATCAGGGAAGGGTATTTAAGGTAGCCTCTCCACTATTGCTTAGTTTTCTAGTTGGTGTCATCGTTGTAGATCTCTGGAAATCTCACTAGTGTCAGCTCTCTCCTCAAACATATAATGACTCCATCTATTATAGTATCTCTCATCCTGCTCTCCTCTGTTTTTCCCCTGACTCAACCTTCCCCACGTCCTCCTCTCACCTCCTCTTCTCCCTGACTTCCTACCAGCTTCCTCTCCCCCACCCCATGACCCCAATCTTGTCAGGAAATCTTGCCTCATTTCCCTTCTCTGAGGTACCATGCATTTGTCTTTTAGGTCTCTTCCTGTTTCCCAGATTCTCTGGCAGTGGGACATCAGGCTGGCACTCCCCTGATCCATGTCTAAAATACATATATGAGTGAGTAAATGCTATGTTTGTCTTTTTGTGACTGGATTACCTCACTCAGAATGGTTTCTTCTAGTGCCATCCATTTGCCTGCAATATTTTTTCCACTGAGTAGTATTTCATTGTGTAAATGTAACACATTTTCTCTATTCACACTTCAGTTGAGGGGCATCTAGGTTGCTTCTAGGTTCTGGCTATTAAAAATAATGTGGCTATGGATGTAGTCGAACAGAAGTCCTTGTTGTATAAATGTGCATCTTTTGGGTATACGCATAAGAGTGGAATAGCTGGATCTTGAGGTAGACTGATTCCCATTTTCCTGAGGAATCTCCATATTGATTTCCAAAGTGGTTGCATGAGTTGGTATTCCCACCAGCAGTGAAAGAGTGTTCCCCTCTCTCCACATCCTTTCCAGGATAAACAGTCATTGATGTTTTTTATTTTAGCCATTCTGACAAATGTTAAGATAGTATCTCAGAGTGGTTTTGATTTGTATTTCCCTGATGGCTGAGAATGTTGAGCACATACTTAATAGTGCTTGATTACATCTAATTCGCAGAACCAAATACTTATCATGAAGTCTGAGTGAACTGATGCAATGAGCACAGTAAAAATATACACTACTGAAATCAGGGAGCTGTAAATCTGATGGGACATGGTGACACTGTAGAGGGGGTTACAGATGGCAACATGGTAGTCATATGACATTGAAGTTAATGTGTAATAATCTGCAATGCCAAAAA